CCCCAAAACCCCAAAACCCCAAAACCCCAAAACCCCAAAAATTAACAAAAAATTTAATTATATAAAGGTGGGATTATGAGCATTGGTAATGGAAGCGGGATTGGAGGGGTTCAGGAGTTAGGAGAGGAAGGGACGAGGGGGGTTTTGGGTGATGAAGGGGATGGGAATGGGATGATTGTGGGATTTAGGGAATAGAGAACTGATGTATTCGGGACATAAGATGAGACAGAAGGTAAAAGGACAGAAAGAGATATCGATTAAAGAGAATAGGATGATATATGCATTCCAGTCTTATAAGCTTCTTGGTAGTGTGGTCAAGATTATACATATTAATCATATGACTATTATGGGAGTACTTAAAACTATAAAACCGTCTGTGCCACAGAAGTTTTGAGTTCAAAATTGACTCATCAAATATGGCAATGACGGGACTGTTAAGTTTAAGAAGAAAGTGAGCATATCACCAATAAACATCATCTCTTTCGAAGTGATAAACATCGAAAAAGGTACTCTTTTTCTACTCCAGAAAATTCTTAAAATTATCCAATTAAATTTTCTTTCTGACTTCTTTAACAAGGTTTTTCTTTTTGTAACCCTTTAATAAATCTATAGACTTGCAAAGCAATAAATTGCGAGAGGAAGCCCCAAAGGCCAAATCAAATGGAGGTTATAACAAAGAAACTGGGAGGGTGAAAATGTTGCAAACCCGCCTTGAAGCTGAAAAGTCTAAATTCAAATCTTCACGTAAGCTCTCCCTTTTCATTTCTGACTTACCATAGTCTCCAAAGAGCAAACAAATGAAGAGACTCTGAAATCTAGTTCAAACTTAACAAAACCGTTGAGTCCTTGAAAGACTTTTTCAGCACAGAAATCTCCCCAAAATTCTGACCAAAACCCATCAGCTTCCCCTTCTCGAGTTCCACTGGCACCATTAGTAAAATCCAAGAAAAAGAAAGGCTCCAAGAAGAAACCTCAAGCCTCTCCTCAAGAACTATCAAACACGAAAGAGGGAGAGCAGAAGAAATGCAGCCAAAATGAAGAAAATATCAAAAATGAAGCCGAAAAGCAGCCGATGGCTTTAAATAGTGAGAATAAGGATGCCAAGAATATAACTGGGGATAAATTATCCCAGAAAGTTGCCATAGAGCAACAGGATTCTAATGAAGCTGGATTGATGAAAGAGGCGATAGTGAGAAAGGTAACCATGCCAGATTCTGGTCTAAGTAGTTCTTGACAAAACAAGCAGGTGCCCACAAGTAGTATTTCAATTATTCTAATGTTTAGCAACTCCTTCTAGATCTCAAAGCTCAACAACCACTTTAAACAAGAACAGCACTCCTCCTGAATCAACCCCTAGCCCCAACACAGCTGGCTCCAACAACCCCTCACTGAATTTTGAGGAAGAAAAGACAGATAGTGCTACCAGAAAATCTTCAGTTAACAGAAAAAGACATAAAAATAACCTTATGGATTACTCATCTGGAAAACCCCACAATAAACTAGTCCTTGAGGGTCCCTCTACCTACTTCTCTAGAGTCAGGCGTAAGCCTAACCCTATCAGCATTTCTAGAAATCCTCCGCCCAGGAGTTATGCTACTGAAGAAGCTAAAGTAGATCAACAAGTAGTCACACAGAGATCTGGGAAAGAAGAGATTGGAGAAAAGGAACAAGAGGAAATTCATGGAGAAAAAGAAGGGGATCAGGTGGAGAGTTTAGAAGAAGAGGAGCAAGAAGGTCAAAAGGAGTTAGAAGAGAGGGAGATTGAGAGCCAAATAGAGAAACTGGATAAGAGCTTGGTGGGGAATGAAGTAGAGGTCCGAGAGGTGGAGCAAGAGAAGAATGAAAAGGAAGACAAAGAAAGAAGAAAAGAGGAAAAGCAGAGAAAAGAGCATGAGCAGAGGAAAGAGGAAAGAGCAAGAGAAGAGAAAAAGAAAGACCAAGAGCTAAAGCAAGCGAAAGATGAAGAACAGGATCAAAATAAGAATCAAGAGATGAAGCAAGAGAAAGATCAAGAACAGGTTCAAAATCAAAATCGAGAACAAAATCAAGTAGAAGACCAAGTAGAGGATCAAACCGCCCATCAAATTGAGTGCCAGAAAGCTCAAAAAGTAGAGCATCAAGTAAATAATCAGAAAGATGATAAAGTAGAAGAACTGCCTTTTGAGAAAAATGAGAAGTATCTTGATCTTGATTCAGTTTTCAATTATGAGAACTTTTATAACCCTTCTCATAAGCAAAATCTATCTCAATCCCGTGAAAGAATGGAGTCGGCAATGAAATAAGGGCAAATATTTCCTTCCCAATCTTAATGTCTCAAACAACAATCTCCCTATCACACAAGAGATGTGGGAGAACTACCAGTACTACTTCTGGCAGTGGGAGCACCAAATGGATCATACAGATTTTAAGAATCCTTTATTCGGTCTTGATCCTATGCGCTGAGCCCATGCTCGCCAATACACCATTGACAGACTTCCTCCGCCCTTACTTTTCCAATTTCCTATGATGCCAAATTTAATGTTTGGCTCTCCTTTTTAACTAAACTGATTCAACCGTACACTCTGATAAAGGGGTTTTGGGGTTTTGGGGTTTTGGGGTTTTGGGG